GCCTCTCTTGACGAAGCCCAAGGTTTCATTGGCTCTTTGGGCAGCTGCAGCACACCACCGGATGATGCTTAATCTGTGATCTACCCCTGAGGACACCCCCATCCTTCCCACCAGGTACTATTCTGTATCTTGCATCTGGCTTTCCTACCTAAGTGCAGACCCTTACATTTCTTGTCATTGAACAGCATGTTGTTGGGTAGGGCTTAATGTTAAGCTTATCAAGATTTTTTTGAACCTCAAGCCTGTCTTCTGAACTGTTAGCAAACATTTCCTCCTCCCTCACCTTCATTTTATTTGCTAATCTGATAAACATCCCTTCCACCCATTGTGTAAGTCATTATGAAAATGTTAAAGAGCACTCAGCCTAGAACAGAACTCTGAGGAACCTCACTGCTTACCTCCCTCCATGTAGACATAATCCCATTAAGGAACATGCATTAGATATATTGTTCAACCAATTGCAAATCCATCTGGTAGTGAGACTATTATTAATTCCACATTGTTCCACTTTATCAATAGGGAATCTATGGTCAATATTATCACATGCTTTACTGAAGTCTAAGTACACTACATCCACAGCATTCCGTTGGTCTACTAATCATTTAGTTAAAAAAAAATAAGATTTGTCTGGCAAACTCATGCTGGCTTCTGGTAATTATCTTGTTCCTTACTAAGTGCTTGCAAACCAACTGCTTGATTATCTCTTCTAGGATTTTCCCAGATACTAATGTCAAGTTCATTGTTCTGTAGCTTCCTGGATGCATTTTTTTTTTTTAAAAGATGGAACAACATTGGCTATTTACCAATTTTCTGGCACTTCCCTATATTGTGAGTTCTCTAAGAGTACAATCAGTGGCTCTGAGATCTCTACCCAGTTCAGCATGTTCCATGGGGAGAACTGATATATTTCAGCCTTCACTTTCTTTAGATTCCACTTTGGGTCTAAAGCTTTAGCAGCAAAGTGGAACCCAGGAACTTTTACTCAGAGTGCTGAGGCTATGCAACACAAAGACATGGTTTCCCTTAGGGCAGTTGAATTTCTCCTTCTCTTTGACCAACATCCATGAGAGAGAAAGGGAAGCAAGAACACAAGAGTCAGAGTGATGCACATTGCAAGTGGCATAGTGAATAAAGGAGAGGGTCTTGAAGGACAGAAGGAAGACCCACTACCAAGGCAACAATCAGATAAACGAAACTTGAGCCCAGGTCAAGAAAGAAATTTGCAAAAACATCTCAGACAGCCCCACCCCCTCGCAAATTCTCACGAAGAGGGAGGAAAGATAGCAATTCAGACAAGCAAAGTTCTGTTACTATAGCTATTCTAATAAAAGTAGCTTTAGGTCTGCATGGTGCCTGTTTCTTAGTCTGATCTACCTGATAGGACAGACAGATGACCAGGGAAAGGCTACAGCTTTGTTTCTTCAGCTGGTTCCACATGACAGAGTAACCACCTTTGTTTTAACCTTGGCTTGTTGAACTAGCCATAAATGATTGGATTGACAAATTATGCAATGGTATTAGGCAACATTTGAAGGCCACAATGAATTAGCTCATTCAACCCTATATAAATATGATGAAATAAAACAAACAAACAAACAAACAAACAAAGAGTTAAGCTAAAAGAATTCATACACTGTGAAAGCCCAGCCTGTGTCTTACCTGTAATTCAAGGGGCTCTTTTGGTTCAGGACTGGCAATATGACAAAATCAGAAACTAAAAGGATAGCTATTTTCCTTTCTTTGGAACCACTGAGTTGTATAGAGAAATGATGATGCCTGTCAGCCATCCCAGGCCACTTCCAGGCACTGTCTTGCTGCCAACCACCCAACTCAGCCTGGCTTCCAGTGAGTAGCTACTGGTAGGAGCAATCATTCAACAGTTTGCTCTATTAAAAAAAAAAAAAGGCAGCTGTTTTGTTAAGCAAGATGTCATTACTTTTATGGCTCATGGAGCAGGAATTTTATTGCCAAAATATAATGGTGTCTACAGAAGAAAGAGAAATATTTTCAATCTGGCAAAGGAATATAAGAGACCATTTTACAACTGGATTTTCTTTCATGGCAGGAAAAAGATCTGCCTTTGAGTCATCTTCCTGTTGAGACAATTCCACATGGTTGGAGAACAAACACAACTGGTAAGAAGACTAGATAGGAACCAAATCAGACTTGGGTTATGCCACCTTGGCACAAAATTCAGTCTGCTAGATGAAGAGAAAGGGAGGCACATCTTGGACTCCCAGAAGTACTCACTGATCCCAGAATCCTGTTGCCCTCAGTGCCGCACCACTCAGATTTGCCTGGATTAGGAAGCCAGCACTCAAGTGATACTACCTTTGGTGCAACTGTTGGCAGTTTGTAGGTAACCTCACAATCATATTCCCTGGCCTCTTCCAATTCACTGTAAAGCCATAACTTTTCTCTATAATAGACTCCTCTAACTCATATGTTGATAATGGTATTGTTATGCAAGGCAGAACTGAGTACCATAGGCCTAATCATCATGTTGCCACACATTTTTATTGTATATGTAGGGTAACATTAGGTACATTGTACCATCCCACATGTTTCAGGCTTCTCAGATACCAATGTCAGATTGAATGTTCTCTAGTTTACTGGATCTTTTCATCTTTCTGAAGACAGAAAGGTCTCCTCTGCTCATCTGGCACTTCATCAGCTGTCTGGGATATTTCAAAGACAATACACAAGGGTTTGGGTGACCACCACCTGGTTCCTTAAGAATGTTAGGATGCAATTCATTCAGTTTGGGGGATTTAAATTTATTTAAAGAGGTATTTCCTGACCATCTTCAAACCTGCTCCTTCATACTGCAGGTCACAGTTTCCTGATGGAACACATAAATTTATTTGATGAACCCAAAAAGAAGACTTCTGCTTTTTGTTACCTGTTAGCATTTTGCCTTCCTCAGTGAGCAGTTGGCCTATTGATTCTTTTTCTTTTCTTTTTGATATCTAAACAAAAGCACCTTTTTGTTAGCATGCTTTGCTAACCTCAGCTCATTCTGAGTTTTGGCTCCCTGACATCAGCTCTACAGTCCTCTACAATCCAGTGTTGAACCCAATAAAGTTCCAATGAGTCAGTCGGAAATCAGCTGCCCATATTTAGGATACATCAGTTGCTGGGCTGCTCGCCTAGGACTGGGTCAGGACAGGCAACTGCAGATACTTGCAGACCAGGAGCCCACAGAGAAGTACTCAGCAACCTGGAGCAGGAAGCCCTCAAGAAAACAGGAAGGTGACCTGACCCAGAATGGTTCTTCCTGGCAGCTGACTTGGTCAGACACACAGATAGCAGAAGAGCACACTTTCCTGGAAAGGCTGCTTGCTATCACCCCTCTTTGGTGGACTTTTTAGAGAACTTGGCTCAAGCACATTTTTTTCACAAGTTTTTGAATGTATCTTCTCCTCTTAAGCAACT